TCCTTCACGTTCTTCCTTCCTTCTCCCTCCCCGCTCTCTCACCCATCTCCACACTCCTCTTGCCCGACCTCTCTCCTCCATTAATAAGCTACTCGTCCTTCCTCCGTCCCTCCTCCTCTCTCCTCCTCCTCCTTCACTCCTTCTCTTCCTCCTGCCTGCCTTCTGGTCTCCGGTCCTTCGTCCTCGTTGTCCTCACTCCTTCCTTCCTCCCTTAGTCCGTAGACAGTTTGGCCTCCTCATCATCATTACATCATCATCATCATCATCATCATCTCACATCATCATCATCTATCATTCATCATCATCATCATCATCATCATCATCATCATATCATCATCATCGTCATCATCATCCATTCATCATCATCACATCATCATCGTCATCTCATCATCATCATCATCATCATCATCATCATCATCATCATCATCATCATCATCATCATCATCATCATCATCATCATCATCATCATCATCATCATCATCATCATCATCATCATCATCATCATCATCATCATCATCATCATCATCTACATCATCATCATCATCATCATCATCATCATCATCATCATCATCATCATCATCATCATCATCATCATCATCATCACGTCATCATCATCATCATCATCATCATCATCATCATCATATATCAATCAGGCATCTGTGTCCACCATCATGGATCATCACCTGTATCTCAATCAGCATCATCATCATCATCACTTCAGCATCATGATCATCGATCATCATCTATCCTCATCATCGTCACCATCATCATCAGGCATCACACATCATCAGCATCATCATAATCATCATCAGCAGCATCAGCATCAGCATCATGGCCATCAGCACCACCACCACCACCACCATCATCATCATCATCATCATCATCATCATCATCATCATCGTCATCATCATCAGCATCAGCATCAGCATCAGCATCATCATCATCGTCGTCATCGTCATCGTCATCGTCATCATTGTCATCATCGTTATCATCATCAGCGACAACAGCAGCATCATCACTAGCATCATCATCATCATCATCATCATCATCATCATCATCACCAGCATCATCTTCATCAGCATCATCATCCTCATCAGCATCATCATTAGCAACACCATAATCGTCATCATCAGCATCGTCACCATCAGCATCATCATCAGCAGCATCATCATCATAATCATCGTCAGCATCATCAGCAGCATCAGCATCATCATCATCAGCATAGTCAGCAGCATCATCAACAGCATCATCAACATCAGCAGCGACAGCAACATCATCACCATCAGCATCATCAGCATCATCATCGGCATCATCATCAGCAGCATCAGTAGTAGCATCATCAGCATCATCAGCTCATCACCATCATCATGATCATAGTCATCCTCATCAGCATCAGCATCGTCATCATCAGCATCGTCACCAGCAACATCAGGATCGTCATCATCAGCATCATCATCATCAGCATCATCATGAGCAACATCAGCATCATCATCAGCATCATCACCATCATGATAATCATCAGCATCATCATCAGCAGCATCATCGTCAGCATCATCATCATCAGCATCATCATCAGCATCAGCATGATCAACATCATCAGACTCATCATCATCATCAGCGGCAACAGCGTCATCATCATCAGCATCATCCTCAGCATTAGCATCATCATCATCATCAGCATCATTATCATCATCGTCAGCATCATCATTAGCATCATCATCAGCATCGTCATCACCAGCATCATCAGCAATCTCAGCATCGTCATCATCAGCATCACTATCAGCATCATCATTATCACCATCATCAGCAGCAGCATCAGCATCGTCAACATTATCATCATCAGCAGCATCATCATCATAATCATCATCATCAGCATCATAATCATCATCATCATCATCATCATCATAATCATCATCATCATCATCATCATCATCATCATCGTCCTCCTCCTCGTCGTCCTCGTCCTCGTCCTTGCCCTCATCGTCTTCCTTGTCCTTTTCCTCCTCTTCCTCGTCGTCGTGTTCATCGTCGCCTTCGGGTCCAAGGAATGGCCCGAAGAGGCTCTCCAAGGCCACCCCCTTGCTCCCAAAGATCTCCTCGCACCCTTGGTTGCACGCTTTGTTTCACTACATGTGTCTCTTCGTCCCTTTTCCCAGCAACTCTCTTGGGAAGGGTTTCCGAATGGGCTGATGTGGACACGCGGAGCGTGAAACATCGAGTGTATTGCTGACGATGGGGACGTGATGGAGGACGAGGAAGAGCATGATAGGAGAAATAATGACACTGAAGACGGCAACGACAACGACAACGCCGACGAAGAAAAGCAAGCTCGCTTGGCGCAGTTCCAGGGCAAACGAGGGTGGACGAAGGATCGACCCCAAGAGAACAAAGAAAGATAGAAAGAGTGAGAGAGAGAGAGCGGTGGAAAAGGTTGGAACGACAAGGACGGGTATTCCTGGACGTGGGTGGGACACACCTGCATCAGAAAATTTAAATCTCTCCACCCTACACCTCTAGACTGCAGACGGAATTGCCGATGGCTGGGACAAGGAAGCCAAGTATGGAAAGATTCCGCCGCAAGAGGGTCCACGGCGGGCTTCGAAAGTTCCCGGCTCTTGGCAAACACCAGCAGCCACTGCTGCTTCCCACCGCACAGGTCGCACTCCAGGTGGTCGTCAGTTCTATCGGACAGTGCTGGGAGCAGCCTCGGTTTGGAAATTGCACAGGCCGCGCGGCGAAGGAGAGACTTCCCGACCGAGGGAAACAGGCATTCGCCTAGCCGGGAGGATATATATATATATGTATATATACAAACATATACATACATGTCCATATATATAGTACACGATATATGTATATATATACATATATATATATACATATATCTGTCGACCTCTCTATATATACATATATACAAGATATATATATATATATATATATATATATATATACATACATGCATATTCATATCTTGGTATCCATCTATCTGTATATACATACATATATATACACATATATATATACATATATCCTCCTCCTTCTCCTCCTCCTCCTTCTCCCCATCCTCCTCCTCCTCGTCCTCCTCCTCCGCCTCTCCTCCTTCCTCCCCCCCTCCTCCTCCTCCTCCTCCTCATCATCAATCATCATCATCACTCAGCAGCACATCACATCATCATCATCAGCATCAAGCATCTTCATCATCATCATATCATCAGCATCAGCATCATCATCCTCATCATCAGCAGCATCATCATCATCGTCATCATCATCAGCATCAGCAACAGCTCATCGTCACCATCAACACCCACCACCACCACCATCATCATCATCATCATCTCATCAGCAGCAGCAGCATCATCCCTCTCCTCCTCCGCCTCCTCCTCCTTCCTCCGCCCTCTCCTCCTCCTCTTCCTCCTCCTCCTCCTCCTCCATCCTCCCTCCTCCGCCACCTCCACCTCCTCCTCCTCCTCCTCCTCCTCCTCCTCCTCCTCCTCCTCCTCCTCCTCCCTCCTCCTCCCCTCCCTCCTCCTCCCTCCTCCTCCTCCTTCCTCCTCCTTCTTCCTCCTCCCCTCCTCCTTCCTCCTCCTCCGCCTCCTCCTCCTCCTCCTCGTTCCCCTCCTCCTCCTTCTCCGCCTCCTCCTCCTCCTCCTCCTCATCATCATCATCATCATCCTCCTCTTCGTCGTCTCAGTATTATTCGTATTGCTATGCTTCTTAAACGTAGTATTGATGATATTACTATTATTACTATTATTATGTTTATTATTATTAGTATTATTACTATTATTAGTATTATTATTATTATTTATATTAGTATTATTATTATGTTTATCATTATTATTACTAGTATTATTATTACTATTACTATTATTATCATTATAAGTAGTATTAGTATTATTCGTATTAGAATTAGTATTATTATTAGTATTAGTAGTATGAGTATTAGTATTATTATTAGTACTATTCGTATTGTCCATATTAATATTAGTATTAGTAGTATCAATAGTATTAGCGTTAATAGAATTATTAGTATTATGATTATTATTACTGTTATTATTGTTAGTATTATTATTATTGATAGTATTATTGTTATTATTAGTACTACTATTACTATTATTAATATTAGTATTATTAGTGGTAGTATTGTTATTATTATTATTACTAGTACTCGTATTAATAATATTATTAGTAGTAGTAGTAGAAGTGTTAGCATTAGTACTATTAGTATTATTAGTAGTACGAATATCATTATCAGTCTTGGTATTAGTGTTATTAGTGTTAGTATTAGTCGTAGTATGAGTAGTAGCATCATTATTCGTAGTAGTATTAGTAGTATTATTATTATTAGTATTAGCATTCGTAATACTGTTGTTATGAGTATCATTATTATTAGTACTCTTATGTTCATTAGCATTGATTACATTATTATTACTACTACAACTATTGATAGTAGTATGACTCGTAGTAGTAGTATTAATAGTACTAGTATTAGTATTGTTATTATTAGCCTTATCAGTAGTAGTATGATTATTATTAGTCGTATGAGTCTTACTCGTCCTCTTAGTGACATGCTTCTTCGTCGTGATAAGATTAGTCTTCTTATCTGTTGTGAATTATTCTTAGTCTTATTATGAGTAGTATTCGGATTCGTCGTCTTAGTCGATTCATTCTGATTAGTCTTCATAGTCTTGGTCTTAGTCTTCATATTCTGCGTAGTATTCGTGTTCTTAGTCTGTTTATCATTATTGTTCCTCCTCCTCCGCCGCCGCCTCCTCCGCCTCCTCCGCCTCCGCCTCCGCCTCCGCCTCCTCCTCCTCCTCCTCCTCCTCTTCCTCCTCCTCCTCCCTCACCTCCTCCTCCTCCTCCCTCCTCCCTCCTCCTCCTCCTCCTCCTCCTCCTACCCTCCTCCGCTCCTCCTCCGCCTCAACCTCCGCCTCCTCCTCCGCCTCCTTCTCCGCCTCCGCCTCCGCCTCCTCCTCCTCCTCCTCCTCCTCCTCCTCCTCCTCCTCCTCCATCGTCGTGCTGCTTCTCCATGCCGTCACGCTCCACTGAGGGGGGAACGATGGGGGGAACCCGCTCCGGAGGGGAGGGGGACATTGATCTGGACAGACTCGACGACGCGTCGCCGATACATCGGCGATAATGAGGCCCCCGATGGTGAAACTGCACGGTCCTGGACCCAGGCCCCGATTGGCGATGAATGGGCGAATAAGGGTCGATGCATCCCGCCGTGAGCCTCACCCCCCTGACGTTGCCCTTGAGTGGTGCTACGCTCCACATCTTCACAGCGGCTCCAGCGGAGCTCGGTGTGCTTTGCAGCTTCGATTGACATCGCCATGCAGCAGTCCACTCCTCCTCCTCCTCCTTCTCCTCCTCCTCCTCCTCGTCCTCCTCCTCCTCCTCCTCCCCAGGCCCTGTCGGTGCATTTGCTTCCGCAGGGCTCTCTGCGCACGAGATTGGCGCTCAGCGGGCCAGGTGTCAGGCACTGCCTCGCACGTCTGGCGGCGCGCCCAGCGGGGAAATGAGAGGGGGCGGGCCTTTGGAGAAGGCCCAGAAGGCCTCCGGCCTTCCGAGGAACTCTCTGAGCCTTCTCCGACGCCCCGCCGCCTTCTGAAGGGGCCTGCCCCCTCTCGCTTCCCCCTCGGCGTGCCGCCGAGTGAATGGAAGGGGCAGTGAGGTGGGAGGAGGGGAAGAGAAACAATATGGTAACACGAGTCCCTCTTCTTCAAGGAGCGGAAGGAGATTCGGTGGTATGTGGAGAGGTGGCTTCCGAGCAAAGCTGTCGCCGCCCTCGGAAGCCCAATCTGGAACATCACTCGACTAGAGAGCATTTCCCGAACGACGTCCGAAGTTCCCACCCCCCGCCCAGACATTCCAAATACCCTTTCGGAAAAAACGCGTTCCTGCCCAGTACGCCTTCTCCTGCGTGGAGTTCTCCTTCTCTCCGCCAGTGGAATTTGAACGAATATACCTTGGTGCAGCTCGCGATGCTTTCTTTCATGCTGCAGTCGCCCACTAAGCTCTGTTCAGATGGAGCGCATCGCAATCCCAGCCTCGTGAAGAAACAACGAATCACAAGAGCTATTTGGATGCGGCCGGCAGGTCTGAACCAGTTGGGGTCCCAGACAATGGGGCCCCCAGATCCGTTTTTGACAGTCCCGGGACTGGATAACGACCCTCACATGCCGCAAAAGACACAAAACCTTCCCGAACCCACAACCTCGAACCTGGCTGCCCTTCCTGCCAGCCGGAACTGGTGCTGGGCCACCTCAGACCCCCAGCCGGCTCCAAAGAGCTACGCCCTGCGTATGCTGAGCCACGTCGAACCAAAGAAAGAGAGAGAGAGAGAGAGAGCGGCGGCGGCCTGGCGAGCTGTCTCAGCGCTGCAGAGGTTCTCCTGCTGCCATCGGTGTGCTCGGTCTTGTCTAGACTTGCAGTGCGCAGACTGGTGGAATGCCTGGAGTACGCGTCGCCACTACTGGTGAAGACCAGCAGGATCCGCCGACCCCACTGCTGGAGACGCAGGCAGACGGGGCTCGGCCAAGCAGCCCATCTGACCAGACCGACTCACCCCCGGCATCGACCGCGGCCAAAGAGGCATCACGCAAGAGTGAGCCATAGACATGAGTGATCATTAATGCGCGGCAGTAAGGGGGCCGTGGGGGGTCGAACCCAAGCGTGCAGGCCAGGTGCTCGGGGGACCCCTGTGGACCCGCACCGAAGGTCACTCCAGCCAAGGGTCAGCCTTACGCGTAGCCGAACGTGCCGCCCAGCTCAGTTGTGTACTGGGGGCGGGACAATACACGGGAGGGGGGGAAGAAAAGTACACCGAACACAGCCCCCCAAACCGAGAGAGGCAAAAAACCTTCCCGAACCTAGAACCTCGAACTTCGCCTCCCTCTCCTGCTGGCCGGAACCACTGCTGGGCCACCTCAGACCCCCTGCTGACTCCGAAAGGCAGGTGCACGCTTCGCGCACCTGCCCCTCCAGGGCCCCAGGGAGCTCCGTTGGGGCCCCTTTAAGGCTCCTTGCCTGCAACCCCATCCCCCCCTACCGCTCATTTGGAACAGAAAACAGATGGCACCACCCCACCTACGGCCCAAGGGGCTTACCGTATACCAGGAAATCTGGCGTGGTTATTTGCGTGGCATACGCTAAGGCGCCCGATGGGCCGTAGCGCAACATGGAGGGCCGTAGGTGGGGTGGTGTCGTTTTTTTCCCTACCTAGGCTCTGCCTAGAAGGGTTCTTACCCTGTGTGCTTAAAGGGCCGGGCAGTGTTGCCCGCCCCGGGCGGTTCCCCCAGGATCCGCCCCGCGGTACCCCCAGTCCCCTGGGAGCTTTGGCTTTAGCTTTAGCTTTAGCTTAAACTTAGCTTTAGCTTTAGCTTTAGCTTTAGCTTAGCTTTAGTTTAGCTTTAGCTTAGCTTTAGCTTAGCTTTAGCTTATATTCAGCTTAGCTTTAGCTGAGCTTCAGCTTAACTTTAGCTTAGCTTCAGCTTA